GCTGTGGTCGCTTCCTGTCGTGGAGAGGAGTAGGGGCTATTCCAGGGATTGTTGTCCGGATCATAGGGTCTGGCATATCCAATCCTGTAGAAAGGCGCTGCGGGCATATGGGGCGGGGCCTGTCTTGCCGTGGGCATCCCCCTGGCGGAGGCAGGTGGGGTAGGGACGTCCCAGGCGGAGGTATGTGTGCTGCCTCAGTGCCCTTGTGTCGGTGTGGAGTGAAATGCCGGCTGTGTGGGGGTCTGTGGTGGTAGTGGTGCTGTGTTGGGAAGCTGTTGCTGTTGTTGGATGGGAGATGTAGCTTGAGTGTATTGGATCTGGTTTGTCGGCGGGGGCAAGTATATCCCTCCCGGTCCCCCGTGTTGGAAGGCCGCATTCGGTGTGAGGGAGTATCCCCCCCAGGTGGTATATGGTACGCCCTGAGGGGTTATACGTGTGTGGACTGCCAGGTGATCTGTGTTGGCGGGGCGATCGTCGGATCTTGCATCCACTGTGGCATCCACGGCATCTGTGGCGTTCCCCCCTGAGCTGCCGCCTGCTGTTGCTGCGTTGCCGTCGTAGGTGTGCGAGCTTGCTGGGGCTGTGGTGGCTGTTGTGGATTGTGGTCTCCGCCACTCGGGATGTGGTTCCCATGTCCACCCGAGGTACCCGGGGAAGGAGTGCCACCCCCTCGTCCCCCCAGGCTTGCCAGGACGACAATGACTGCTTTCAGACAGGGCATCCGTTCAGGTTGTTGCCGAAGGTAAACTGTCAGTGAGCTCAAAACTCTAGAGCCAGTTTGCTCAGCTTGAAGTAACACATGAAGATCGAGTACAGGTAGTCATGTCCCCAAGAATCATGGTTTCGAGCCAAGGCGCGCGCGGTAGGTCAAGTTGATCATGTCTGCGGATGGTCCCCTTGCATCTGATCCCCCGAGATTCGGAACATGTTTGCAATACAGTCGAGGCTGGGGAAGTCATCAAAGTATTTGCGATGCCAACGTGGTAAATGATGCATGTCCAAAGTATCTGCGATGTCAACGTGGTAAGCGATGCATGTCCACGGTGCAAAGGCAAATGACGCATGTCCACTGAGCAAAGTGACGTATGATTCTCCCACCGTTTTCAACATCTCGCGGAACATGTGAATGTCTGCTGGACTAAGTGGGAGAAAGCACCGTGTCTTCCCCCGTTGGCTACGAGTCCGAGAGGTACTGCTGCACCCCGCATCATCAAGTAGTCAGCGGTGGAGGTGGCGGGAATTCTCCCCCCCTGGCGTCCGAGCTCGTACTTCGATGTGGCGTAAGGTTCGTGATGCTTGTCTGCCTCTCAGATGCCCACGGCACGTCGTATTTGTCAATCCATGTTTGGAGGAGACTTGACCATTGGTTCCGGTCCATGGCTACCTGGTGCCAATTCTCCCCCGCGACAGATGTGACCTGCCGATCAGTGTCCATGTACGCGTTGAAACGCCTAGCATGGGTGATGTTCCCCCATGGTGGTCTGCGAGCATTCCACCATGCCAAGCATCGCCACCGGAGGAGTTGTCCCCCGACCGGATCACCACGACACATGTGTCCGAGTAACCCCCAGATCTGCTCAAGGATGAAGGTGGACCATCTGCTTGCTGCCGGGTGTTTCTTGGTGATCCCATGGCGGAAGAGTATCCCCCTGGTTCTTCGAAGAGTACGTTGATTCCATGTGGTCCAGCCTTCGCCGTCCCCCCTTCGCATACCAGCCATATCGCGAATATGGGCTAGTTGGATGGAGTTTGCTTGCTTCAGTATCTGTGCATTGCAAGGCCAAGTAGCGCAACCCCAGATCGCTGATTGACGTACCAGCATCGTATGCAAAATCATCTTTTTGGAAATCGGCGCCTTTGCCATCCTTTGCCATCAACTCCCCCCTGTGTGTCCAGAAGGCTTTCCTCCCCCTTGTTTGCATCGCCGCAATAACTATATTGCTCGGTACGAGATGGAAAGCCATGGGACTCCCCAGGACGGTCATGATGTGGTTCTCCCCCTTGGTCGTCACCTCCTTGCCTGCCACCCGGAAGGTGGCTGGTGTCTTGTTACTGATGATATCAACTTTGCCGGGATGCAAGAAGAGACCTTTTTTGGGGAGTGTGTTCCCCAACAGGTCGAGCATCTTCTGCATATGTGCCTGTGACATGGACCAAATGTATGTATCGTCCATGTAGCTGCCGCCATCTTCAGGTGGTGGGTCTCCTGTTGTGGGTTTTGTGCTCTTGGCCTGGCGGATGCAGTCGTCGAGGTCCCTTGCCACAACTGAACCAAAGGCAACGGGGCTGTCAGGGCTTCCTTGGCGTACGCCATTGGTTTGGTCCATGTGGAGGGTTGTCCCCCTGAAGTTGACAGTGATCTTGCCAGAGCGCAAGAGTGCCGTCCATGCTCGGGCCTCCCAGGGTCTTCCCCCTTTCAATGCAACGTCTGCTTCAATTCTGTCTGCCATGGCTTCCTGGTAGACGGAGTCAAAGGCCTTGCGTATATCAAGCTTCGCCACAAACATTTCCAAGCCGAAGTCAAAGGCGACGCGACAGACACGTCGAAGCATCATGAGCAGCTCTACACCTTGCCGGCTTTTCCGTGACCACTGCAGGCGGGCGGGGGTCATGACATCTTCCCCGGCTCTGGAAAGAAGTAGTTGGGAGAAGGCCTTGAGCAAGGCTGAACTCAAAGTGATCGGTCTTGTTTCTGACCAGTCCCCCGGTTGGTTGGTTTTTGCCAGGAGGATACTCACTCCCCTCTCGATAGACTGTGGTATCTTGACCGTATAGAGCATGTCATTGAAGAGTTCAAGCAGCATTCCCCCCCACCGAGGGTGTTGCAGCATGGCTTTCATGGCTTCGTGCGAAACCATGTCCGGACCACAGGCGCGTCCGTTCTTCCAGCGTTTGCGAATCGAGACCAGTTCTTCCATACTGAAAGGTGTCCAGGTGTTTTGTTTACATAGCCGGACGAGGCGGTCATCCACCTGTGCAAACTTGGCTTCAACAACTGCGTTGTCCTGCTTCTGGAAGATGTTCTTGAAGTGCTCGGTGAGCTTTTCTTGCCACTGTGGGTCATCAGTCAGTGGGAGTTCCCACTCGTGGCTTCGCATTGATTGGGCGAGCGCCTTCTTAGCATTCCAGTCGCCAATTGCTGTTCTGTCAAGCAGTTGTTTGCGCCATGTGCGATGTTCTTGTCCATGCAGTCGCATGACCTGTTTCCACAGTTCTCTGCGTTCTGGTCCCCCGCGGTGGCCGATGGCTTTGATCCGGAGGTTCTTCAGCACTTTGCTGTAATGGCGACGGCCGTTCTTGCCAAAGCTGCTAAGGGGTCTCCCGATGCCACCGGAGCTTCTAAGATCTGCTTAACCACTGTGGGTCCACGTAGTCGTCGGCTCCCCCATTCGGGGGCTCTGGTCGAGTAGTCGCGCCTGGTCGGTTTGACCGCAGCTGTGACGAAGACGGGTTCGTGGTCGGAGCTTGCTACGTCCCGTTGTGCGAGGACATCCCCCGACTCAGCTGGGAGGTGTCGAAGAGCAATGTAGTCAAGTCGTCGCGGTTGGAGGCGATGGTTGTACGGGAAGTAACTCGGCTTGCCGACGTTGTCCTCGGCAATGATAAGTTGAAGGCGTTCGAGCCATCCGAGGATCATTTCTCCTCGGCCTGTTTCAGAATCGAGGCCATCCTTCCCACGGAGTACGAAGGTTTCATTAGCGTCCATTCCCAG